ATCTGAGTTTATCATGGCGACCAAGACGATCCAAGGTAACTAGCAATTCCAGAAGCCCCACAGTCAGCGCTGGACGTGGGGGTCTCCTAGAGGAGAGTACCATAACGAAATAGACCACATCATAGTGGATAGAAGGTTTCGCCTGACCGATGTCGCTGTTGTCCCAAAATTCTACAAGAAATCAGACCATCGCCTACGTGCAAAATTCTATTTCTCGCGGAAAGGAGAAAAAGTCGCTAAATTCAAAAACCGAGTTCGAAGAATCACCACAAACTGGGACTTATTCAACTCGTTAGTCGGCTGTTGGGAGGATGCCGTTGTCGATAACATCGACGAAGAATACGATCGGCTCATTCAACATCTTCACGCTAGCGCTATGAAAGCTAAGAGTTCGAAAGTCACCAAGAGACGTCTGTCTCCAGAAACACTCGAGCTGATACGCCAGCATGGAATCGCACGAGCTGCAGGCAACCCGAACTAACGCCCGAACTTGCAAAACAATGCAGAGAGGCGATAAAAGAAGATCTTAGAGAGAGAAGAGCAGCAGTAATGGCCGAAGCTGCAGAGACTGAGAAAAGCTTATGTACAACTTTGACACGACACCAAACCTTCTTCTTCTTTGTGCAGAATGTTTGTAGTAGAAAAGAAGAGAGAACATCAACGTTTCAGTACCAGATTCCGAAATTTAATTAACGTAAGGGTAGTCCAGGGAAGTGTGTAGCGCAGAGGTTAAAAACGGCCTGCAATTCGCGTATCGATCCCACGCCCCAGGCTCACCAAGCCTTCCATCCCTCCGGGGTCGGCAGATTGGTACCAGACTTGTCTGGGAGGATAGTAGCATTGACTCGATGCATCGGTAGGCCACCGCGAGTCATTGTAAAAAAGGCGAGATATGCATTCACTCACCTCTAACGATGCTTAATGAAGACGGATGCATGGCGCATTCCTCAGGAATTGATCACCGCCAAGAGCTCTATCCTTTATCATTGCCGAGTGTAAATGGAGTCTGCATGTGATTTCCCATGTCACTCACTTGTAGGTTGCCTAAAAGCACTCCATAAAAGTGGTGCTGATGGAGAATACTTCTATGTTTTATTGTTTGTTCCATGATCTAACATCGTATGTATCACACCGTGGGGTTCCCAGCACTGCTTGTATTCGATTTGTATCCTCAATGGCGGAAATTCGCTGAAGATTATACGAAATCCGTTGCAAATACCTCGGCGTCATGGTGGCTGTATTTCACATCATGTTCTGCCGTAAAGAAATAACAATAGCTACGAAGTTATGTGGATCTGGACGTTTCAAATCTGGACAGCTTAGTCTGCGATTACTTGAGATTTTTCTAAATTACATAACTAACACAGGGTTGGTGCAAAATAGTTTGCTGCCGGCGAGTAGAAAGTAGAAGCGCTTAAACGTCGGTCAGTATTGTATCGAATAAATCTTACTATCAACAACCTCGTGTTCGCTCTTCAAGAGGGTAGTGTATTATTGACCAGTGCCGGGGTTGTAAGAAAGTCGATACTGGAACAGAAAAGCCTTTTCAGCTAACATTTCAACGTCTTCGTCTTCTTCGGCGATCGATTCGAGTCGACAATCCAGAGATGGTCGTCCTGGCGATGTGTGAGTGTTCATTGTCGCATCGAGTCGAACTCGTGGAGCACCGTTGTTATGAAGTTTTCCACCCACAGAGGGGTTTATACGAGAAAGACTTTGACCTACTGCAGCCATCCAACATGATCCGCTTTTTGCGGCGATGTGCCGTGCAATAGTCGGTGTTTCATCAAGTGGCACGTAGTATAATATAGTATTAAGGAGAATCGCCGAGAGAGATTGTTCGTTCGAATGATGCTGAACTTCACTAGATTCGACTCGATACGAAAGTGAATACCCACATCGCGAGGACGATGATCTCTGGTCTGGACCACTCGGACTAATCCGGCTTTGATGAAGATGAATACGTCGAAACGTTAACGAATAAATCTCTTCATACCTAGTGTTAGCTGAGTAATCTAGGCAGCCATTTATTATTTTTGCCAAGTTTTAATGACAGTAAGTCTTTAAAATAAGTCTCTTCCTATTTAGATGACCCGACTTCACACGTCCAAGCACTTCCTCGTTTCGGTCCCCTTCAGATATTGTCGCGGAACTGGTCTTACTCGTATGTAGCCTGAGCGGCAACTTGTTTTCCTCTCGTATTTTTGTTTAGCCTTTTCTTTTCCTGGAAGAAATGGCCAAGCTCGGTCGTTCTCAAATTGTCACCAGAAGACTGTGGTTGGCCTTTGTGAATTGGAGAGAAATTTGATGCTTTATGGCTCGTACTCTTTCTGGACGATAACCCTACAATGAATAGCAGGGACGAATGCCCGGAGGTCATACGCGACCTGATCCCGTACGTTCGCATCGATTTTTGATGTGGGATGGCGCAGTCGTCAACCACATGCGACTATAATCAGCTGTTCTAAACTTCCTCATTGGAAGTCACGAAAAAGCGGTGGGTTTTTCGAGAAGTTGTTGATCGTGTAATTACCAAAGAGTCTTTCGTCTTTTTGTAAGTGTTATTGAAGCGTTTGGCCCAGTAGACTGTATATCAGTATACCCTTCCAGGCTCTGAAGAAGGCGATACTGCCGAAACGTCAGCTAGCGTTGTATTGCATTGTGTTTTTATGGAAGTAAATGTATGCTGTTTAAAAACCTCGCGATTGCTGAACAAGAAAACGACACATTCATATTCCAATGCCGAGGTTAAGAGAAAGTCGATCCTGGGAACGATAACGATACCATCCTTTTTGATGTTATTGAACGATGGCTGACGTTTCGGCGACTTCGCCTTCCTCAGAGCCTGGACGTACTTTATGTTAGAATACTTTTTATTATTCGGTGGAAAAGAAGGTTAAAGTATTAATGAAGATCAAACTTTCAAATAGACGCCATATTGAACAGAAAGGCCACTCACCGT